GCCTTCAGTCTGTGGCTGAAGGCCCGAGAGCCCCTGGCAAACCACTGGTGTAAGTCCCAGAGTCCAAATGCTAAAGAACCTGGAGTCTGATGTCCAAGGGCAGGAGGATGGAAGGAAGCATCCACCAGAGCAGAAAGATGAAAGCCAGAAGATTCAGCAAGCCAGCTTACCCCATTTTCTTCCACCTTCTTTGTTTTAGCCACTGCAGCAGCTGATTAGATGGTGCCCCCCCACATTGAGGGTGGGTCTTCCTCTCCCAGTCCACTGACTCAACTGTCAATCTCCTCTGGCAGCACCTTCACAGACACACCCAGAAACAATACTTTACCAGCTATCTGGGCATCCTTCAATCCAGTCAAGTTGACACCTAATATTAACCACCACATAGACCAATGGAATAGGTTAGAGAATCTAGAAATAAAGCTGCACACCTACAAGCATCTGATTTTTGACACAGTTAACAAAAATAAACAATGGAGAAAGGACTCCCTGGGTAATAAATAGCATTGGAATAACTGGATAGTCCTATGAGGAACATCAAAGCTAGACTCTTTCCTTTCACCATATACAAAAATCAACTCGAGGTGGATTAAAGACTTACATGTAAAATCTAAAACTATAAATTTTTGGTTTTTAAAACTAATCTATAAAAACCCTTGAAGAAAACCTAGGAAATAGTATTCTGGATATCAGCCCTGGCAAATACTTCAGTAAGAAGACTCCCAAAGCAATTGCAATAAAAATCAAAATTGATAGGTGGGACCTAATTAAACTAAATAACTTCTGCACAGCAAAAGAAATTATCAACAGACTAAACAGACAGCCTACAGAATGGGAGAACATATTTGCAAACTATGCATCCAAGAAAAGTCTAATATCCAGAGTCTATAAGTCTATAAGGACCTTAAACTAACCAGCAAAAGCAAAACACAAAAACCCTAAAAAACCATTAAAATGGGCAAAAGACATCAACAGACACTTCTCAAAAGAAGACACACACGGCCATTAAGCATACAAATAATTACTCAACATTACTAATCATTAGAGAAATGCAAAGTAAAGCCACAATGAGATGCTATCTTACACCAGTCTAAATGACTATTGTTACAAAAAAAACCAGAAAAACAAAAAATAGATGCTCGCAAGACTGCGGAGAAAAGGGAACACTTAGATGCTATTGGTGGGAATGTAAATTAGTTCAGCCACTGTGGCAAGCAGTTTGAAAATTTCTCAAAGAACTTAAAACAGAACTACCATTTAGCCAAGCTATCCCATTACTTGGTAAATACCAAAGGAATAGAAATCATTCTACTGTAAAGACACATGCACATGTACTCATATTCACCACAGCACTATTCAAAATAGCAAAGACATGGCATCAACCTAGATGTCCATCAACAGTGTATTGGATGAAGAAAATGTAGTATATATACACCATGAAATGCTATGCAGCCATAAAAAAGAATTAAGGATTAAATTATGTCTTTGCAGCAACATTGATGAAGCTGGAAACCATTATCCTAAGAGAATTAATGCAGGAACAGAAAACCAAATACCTCATATTCTCATGTGTAAATGGGAACTAAACATTGAGTACACATGGACACAAAGAAAAGAACAGTGGACAACAGGGCCTATGTGAGGGTGGAGGGTGGAAGCAAGGTGAGGATTGAAAAACTACCTATTGGGTACTATGCTCATCATCTGAGTGATGAAATAGTTGGTACACCAAACCCCCACAACATGCAATTTACCCATGTAAGCAACTTGCACATGCACTCCCTGAACCCAAAATAAAAATTGGAAAGAAAAAATAATAATTAAAACAATTATCTGGGGAAAAATAATTTAAATTAGTAGCACCCTTTTGCCTTCAGGGGATATGTTCTAAAACCCCCAGTGGATGCCTAAAACTATGGATAGCAAATTCTATTGCTGTCAGTTGGAACACGTTTCTTTTCATGTCTTCTACCCACAAATTTAATGACTTTTCCGCTTTAACTAAATTTTAATCACACACTGTGACCATCACTTTTGCAGTTTGAGGTACAACAGCAAAACTAACATTAATTTCTTTTTCCTTCTTCACAATTTCATGGATAGAATATTTGTTCTTACTATAGATCTTAGCAACCTCAGTGTATGATTTTCTTTTCCTTCCTCATTAGATAAAAAACTTTTGCCTTTTCACTTAAAGGAAGCATTTTATGTCTTATCTGTGACATAACTGAATTGCCAGCATCACTGCTCTTGCACTTTGAGACCATTACATGAAATAAGGGTTACTTGAACCCAAGCATTTCCCTACTGTAATAGTGAGTCTGATAACTGAGACGACTACGAGCAACATGGATACACTATTGTATCCACAGGATGCATCCACACTAAACAAAGGGAGAATTCACATCCTGGGCAGGGTGAAGTGGGAAGGTGAGGAATTTCATCACAGTGCTCAAAACATCATAAAACTTAAAACATGAATTGTTTATTTCTGGAGTTTTCCATTTAATATTTTTGGAACCATGAATTGATCACAAGTAACTAAAACCGTGGAAAAGAGAGAACGAGTCCACATGTTGTTTAGTATCACTTTTCCAGTAATTTTCTTTTTCTCGTGTGGTCTTATCCTGTGGGCTTCTAGAAAATTGTTTCCTACCTGTCTCTCAATCCCCTTCCTCTTCTCAACTTTCATTTTAGCAGAGGCTACATTATAGTGACCCTGTTGGTTTAGGATTTAAAGAAGCATTTATTTGATTTGTTAAAAACCTCCACATGCACCCATGAAATAACCAAATGACCTCAGGGTATAAATGGAGTTGCAAACTTGTGGTCCAAGTCAAGAAATTCAGTATAAAAACCTTAGGCAACAACATATATGCTAGAATTGCCTTTGCTACCTCCCCTGCCAAGGTAAATGATGTATTAAGATTGCTTCTCAGATAAGGTAGTTGAAAATGATAGCAGTCTTAAAAAATGAGCAGTTTTCATAAATTTGTTGGTATTTTCCTCTATAGACAAAGAGTAGAGCTTATAGCCATCACGGACATATCTCAATAAAAATGTGTTGCAAGCAGGTTTGTCTTGGGCATCCTTCCTTATTCCTTTCAGTATTCCACTTCTTTTCACACCATTTCCCACATGTTAGATATTCCCAGTCTGCTCATCCAGTTCAGGCTCCCTTCCCTGGGAGGCTGTCTTCAGGTCAAAACTTTGCCAGTGATAAAACTCCATTCAAAACTTATCTGCCAAGTAGCCATTTTTACTTGAAGCCCTTCCCTTGGCTCAATGACAGTGCAAAAATTGGACAGTGGCATTTTAATCAAAGGAGTGGTTTTCTTCCTAAACCGTAGGGAATGTCTGCTTTCAACTCTTTTTGACCTGAAAAAAAAAAAAAAAAAAGGCATTTTGTATGGCTTTTCATATGTCATGGTGTCCTAGCTTGAGCACTGGAGCAAAGTCAGAAAATCTGAGCCCTTGACTTATCTCTGTGGTTCACTGCTAGATAATATCCAGAAAATTGTTTCATGCCTTTGAGCTTCAGCTTCCTCGTCTGTAAAAAGGAGAGTAACTACCTTGACTTTTTGCTGAGATTTTAAAGAGAACAAATGTGAAAGCACACACAATCACCATTTGCAAAGGGTAAAGTGGTAGATGGATGAAAGGAATAACGATCTGTAGTTATTTTTCCTTACATGCTAGCCTATTTAAAATGTATAATCCTCCATGATAAGTGTGGCTGATAGTGGGGGAATGTAGATGATCTAGAGACACCTGTCAACCTACAATGTCAGCTTTATGTCATTGTGCCCTTTTGTTCTTTGGGGTTTATATGACTATAATATTTTAAAAACCAAAACCTTATGGGACCATTTTATAATTTGTGTCATATGAAATTTTAATTTTGCTATTTATAGTGAAAGGGGAAAAAGGAAGTGGAGTAAATAGGACATAGATCTCTAACCACTAAAATAAACCTGTGAGTAAATGCATTTTAAGCTCTTCAAGCAAATACACACACACACACACACACACACATGTAATCACTGATTTAAAAATATATAGAATCACATATATATATACATATAAAACCACTTGGCATTAAGGTTGTATAAAAATGTTGATTTTTGTTCAAGAATTTTAGAGTAGATGGAAATTTAATGTACTCAATGTAATCTCGATTTGGGAGGAGATTCTAGGGGGAATTAAAATTTACATAGGAGTTTATTCGCCTGATTTAGTCCATCCAGAGGCTTCAGATGGTCTGGGAGCCAACTAAAGTTGTGTGGAGCAGTGTAAAAGTCAGTACATGTGTTTCTTTTCCCCTGGGGAGGGACTCAATCATTTTCATCATATTCTTAAAGAAATTCTTATCTTACCAAAGGTTAAGAAATAATGATTTCAGTTTAACAAAACACATAAAAATATGTTTTTGTGTACATGTTGAATTATTCAAATCTTCAGTGCTTAGTACTTTATTAATCTTGAAGTCCTAGGAAGTGAATAATTTGGCTGGGCATGGTGGCTCACGCCTGTAATCCCAGCACTTTGGGAGGCCAAGGCAGGCGGATCTGGAGGTCAGGAGATCGAGACCATCTTGGCTAACACGGTGAAACCCCGTCTCTACTAAAAAATACAAAAAAACTAGCCCGGTGTAGTGGCAGGTGCCTGTAGCGCCAGCTACTCGGGAGGCTGAGGCAGGAGAATGGCGTGAACCCAGGAGGCGGAGCTTGCAGTGAGCCAAGATCGCACCACTGCACTCTAGCATGGGCGACAGAGTGAGACTCCGTCTCAAAAAAAAAAGAAAAAAGAAAGTGAATGATTTAAACACTTGAACAAAAACAAAATTTAAAAAGAAATGATTTTCTGAACAAACTTGTTATAAAATATGTGTCTTTTCGCTATTGCTTCTCCACTTCAACACTCATGATCATGTTTTGTTGCTCTCTATTCCCCCTATCTCATTTTTTCTGGCTGCTGGGTTAAACTTCCTGTTTTTACAGAATGACCAAAAACATTGGTGATGATGGAGGTGGAGATGACAACACTTTCAATTTCAGCTGGAAGGTCTTTACGAGCTGGGACTACCTGATCGGCAATCCTGAGACGGCAGACAACAAATTTAATTCTATCACAATGAACTTTAAGGTAGATGTACCAACTTCAAAAGCCTGCTATTTGTATTTCTAAGAGTAAAATTGGAGGCGTTCCATCTGGTCCAGCTAGTGCAGTATCTTGACAATTTACATGAAAGATTAACTTATGATTTCTGCCTACCAGGATCTTGCCATGGTTCTGATTATAACTGGAAAATCTTCCATGACCCACAACAGCACTATTATCCCTTAAAGACTTCTCTTCTCTAAATCTGGTAATAAAATGATGTTACTGGATTGAAACAGGACCCATGAGTAATAGAATAAGATATTTTAAAAACTAGAACAATGTTCACTAATTATTTACAGGAATAAGCATAATATTTAAGTGACCCTAAAACATTATTTTGTAGTACTTTTTAAAAAAAATCACTGGAGGGCAACTCGCTTGGGTCCCCTTCCACGCTGTCGAAGCTTTGTTCTTTCGCACTTCGCAATAAATCTTGCTGCTGCTCACTCTTTGGGAAAAAAAAAAATTCACTGGAATGAAGTTTTTTAGAATGAAGACTACCCTAATATCAGATCAATCACAGTTTGTTTGCAAGAATTCTTCCTTCTGTCTCTTACTTACCATCATTTGTTGGCAGTATTCACCGGTTTGTAGAATCTCAGGTTTAGTTTACATTGTCATTCCTCACATTCTGATGATTGTAAAAATAACTTTTGAGGTTTTGATACTTTTAAAATGTAGCTAAGATATTCTATTTTGGGTTTTTGTTTGTTTGTTTGTTTGCATGGATACAGGAAGCTATCACAGAAGAAAAAGCAGCCCAAGTAGAGGAAAACGTCCACTTGATCAGATTCCTGAGGTTTCTGGCTAACTTCTTCGTGTTTCTAACACTTGGAGGGAGTGGATACCTCATCTTTTGGGCTGTGAAGCGATCCCAGGAATTTGCACAGCAAGATCCTGACACCCTTGGGTGGTGGGAAAAAAATGAAGTTCGTCTCTGCATGCTTTTTATGTGCTTAGAACCTGACATTTGTTTCTTTTGGGGGTTATGCTTCTTTGAGGGAACATTTAAAAAGGCCATACTTTACCTTTCACCTATTCTGCCCTTACAGTTAACCAACTCTCTTGCTCATTTCCATTCTATTCTAGTCTTATTTCTAAATCTGGACTGTCTGTTTTTCATTTTGTGACATGATGGAAAGTTAGAGTCAGAAAAGATATTAAAAAACACATAGGCCAATCATTATGTTTTACAGATGGGAATGATGATTCTCAAGAGATTGCATTGTATGTTTATGGTCACAGAGTTAGGAGAAGAGTCAGGGTGAGAACCTAGGAGTCTTGACTTCGAGTCCAAGGCTCTTGTTGCTTTCTCTGCAAATCCTTCATCTGTCATTAAAAGATCAAATTGTTGCCTGAATTTTTTGAAGCAGCCATGATAAAGCCACTGATTCCTGTGTTTAATATTACTGGAAACACTCAGATTGCTTCTCCACCTTTGGGCATGTCTGGACTTCCCTCTGTTTTCATTAGAAGCCTAACTGCAACATCTCCATCTCCATTTTCTCCTGCCCTGTACCTTACTTCCTCTCTCTCTAAATGCTATTCAAATGAAGAAGGCCAGCTCTTTTCCAGGAATTAAACATTATGACCACAATTTGCCTTTAGAGTATCTGCCCATTTAGTGTATCAGAGAAAGGAGGTTAGACATAGATCATTTAGAATCAGAAAATCATTGGTCATGAGTTGTTGCTAGAGTCTGTTCCCGTTCATAAAATGTTTGTGTGTATGATGTGACGTCATTTTGAGCTTGGGCATTTTCAAAGTATGTGCAGATTTAGGCTGTGGGAAGTGTAGACTTCCCACACTAAAACTTTTGCAGAACAGTATAGATCAAAAGAATTAAAATATGTCTTCATGAGCACAGAATTTTCTAAAAAATCTTGGACAGCAAATGATATAATCTACTTACAGAAAAAGATTCCAAATAACATTCTAAGTATTTCAGAAGAAGTACCAATAGAGATGGGACTAGATATTTTAAAGACTTTCATATACAGTCATGTCATAAAAACTTGTAAAATGTAAGTCATTTAGTAGAGGGATTTTATTTATTTAAAATGAAAAATGAAGGAACACCTCAAAGCATTTACTAAGTTTGCTTTCAAAATGGTCTCATAATTGTAATAGTACATGGAGGCAATATTATCATGCAGCTTTGGTCCATTATTTATATTGGTTATGTTTTTGTGCAAATAAACCATACTAAAGGATGGGTAGTTGATTATCAATAAAATAACTATTCTTTGTAAGAATCTCTTTAACATCTATTTTAGGGACCCTCTGAGTCCTAGGGGCCAATGAAGGTAATAATGGAGATTCGTGATTAACTTTACAAATTTGATGAAGCCAAATTTAAATTGACCTTGTATAAGCTTGCACAGGATCTGCCAAATTTTCTTTACATTAGTCTAAAATTATAGCATGCTGATTTTGTATTATGGCATGCTGAGATCTGGATCCTGTTGGTGATACTTATATAATGTTTTAATAAAAATGACAAAAATCTCATAGCAATTGTTTTCTAAATATAGCCTGGTAGTTATTATAATTCTTCACACCACGAAGTCCACAGGAGAAGATAGGAAATGTTTAGTGGTGACAGTTTGATTCAGGTATTTGGGAAAGGAGATAGTCACCAGAGTTACTTAAAATTGGTATTTCCCCATTAGAAAATTAATACGTGTTTTGGATTCTTTTTATTGACTTCCTTTAGCCAAATAATGTCATCATAAGGTTGCCAAATATCCAGGAAATAAGAAGCACATGTTTCCTACTTTTCATGTTTCTATTCCGTCTTCTCCCTCTCTCCCTCCTCTTCCCACCCCTGCATTATTCTCTTGTCTCTGAAATTATAGTCCATTCTTTCACTTTTGAAAGTTTTCTACGTTGGCTTCCATAACATTATGTCATGTGTTCTCCATTTGTTTCTCTGAGTGTCTTCTATTTCCTTTAATAAAACTCATTTTTTTTGGCCTGAAAAGTTTACGTTTGTCAAAATTCAATATTTAGGCATAGGTCCATCTCAGGGAATTCATTCATTCTAACTGATTAAACTAGCCCATATGCTGGTGATTGTCAGATTAGAATTTTCAGTTTGAACCTCCTCCTCAAGCTGATCATTTTCCATTTCTTTTGGAAATCTTGTTGTGAAGTGCGTCACCATATCAGAATCAGTTACCACATAAAACAATATGTGTTCTCTGTGTAGAGACTGATGTAAATTGCCACCTTCACTATACCAGGAAACAGACTGTTACTACTGGCACATACACGCACTCAGTCACATGCCTATCTTGAGAATGTGAGTTGAATATTGTCCTTGTCATTTTGAGATCAAATTCTAAACATGCTTAAAATAATCATTTTTGATCTTAAAAAAGATCAAAGAAGCCTAGCTCAGAATCTTCCAAAATTCTGGCAAAAAGCAATAATAACTTTAAACACCATTAACTTAGTTTCTCCCTTGTGCCTCCTTGTAGATGAACATGGTTATGTCCCTCCTAGGGATGTTCTGTCCAACATTGTTTGACTTATTTGCTGAATTAGAAGACTACCATCCTCTCATCGCTTTGAAATGGCTACTGGGACGCATTTTTGCTCTTCTTTTAGGCAATTTGTATGTATTTATTCTTGCATTAATGGATGAGATTAACAACAAGGTAAGCCTCGTTTCTGGATTGTCCTTGCCATAAGAGTGTTGTTCAATTCCTAGTCTCACGTTTGCCAAAATGCCTTTGAAATCTCTATGGTCCTCATTTTCGTTTCTATCTTTTTGCTTTCTAGATTGAAGAGGAGAAGCTAGTAAAGGCCAATATTACCCTTTGGGAAGCCAATATGATCAAGGCCTACAATGCATCATTCTCTGAAAATAGCACTGGACCACCCTTTTTTGTTCACCCTGCAGATGTACCTCGAGGACCTTGCTGGGAAACAATGGTGGGACAGGTAATGCCCCCAACAGAAGTGTATGGCAATTAGTAGATTAAAAAAAGAGAGTCAATATCTCTTCCATAAGACTGTCTTTTTAAAAATTGCTTATTAGTAAAAATAGTTAAGATTTGTTGAATGTTGGCTGTGTGCTGGCTCTGAATTTCATGTATATTATCTCATGCTGTTTGCAAATCTATCCTTTGAGGTAAATACTATTTGTATGCCCCCTTTACAGTTGCATATAAAGGAAGGACAGTTGAAAATGGTGCAAAGAGATGTTTACTATCTGTGTTATACTAAAGCACTCGATTTAGATACAGGCCAAAGCAAATATTTAAATGAAACTCTATTTAGTGTTACTTGTTTGCTGTAAAACAAAACAAAACAAACAAACAAAAATAGAGTCTTGGGGGTGGCCAAGACAGCCGAATAGAAGCAGCTGAAGTGCTTGGCTCTCATGGAGAGGAATAGAAGGGGTGAGTAAATATAGCACCTTCAACTGAAACATCCAGGTACATGCATTGGATCTAATCAAGGAAACAACTTGACTCACGGAGAGCAGAGAAAAGCAAGGCAGGGTGACACCCCACTTGGTAGTGACATGAAGCCAAGGGATCGTCCTCTGCCCAGGGAAGTTGTGAGTGAATGCACGACCTTGGGAACCCGTGCTTCTCCCGTGGATCTTTGGAACCTTGTGTCGAGAGATCCCCTCAGGAACCCACTCCACCTGGGCCTTCAGTCTGACACACAGAGCTATGTGGAGTCTCAGCAGAGCAGCCACTTAAGCACATGCAGAGACCCGGGAGCTTTAGATACCTGGGCTTTTCCTTTTCAGGCTTCCTGTCAAAAGTAGCTACACCTCCGGCAAAACAAGAGGTTAGAACCCCCCAACCACACCCCTTAGAAGAGGGGCTGAATCCAGAGACAGTCTGCAGGCCCCACTTCACAGCACCTCACAGAATGAAACCCACTGGCTTACAACTCCAGCCAGTCACTGGTAGAAGTGTTACACCTCCCTGAGACAGAGCTCCTGGGGGAAAGGGTGGGCCATCATCTTTGCTGTTTGGTTGACTTAGCCATTCCATCCTTCAGGCTTCAGAGACTCCAAGCCAATCAGGGGCTGAAGCAGACCGTGAGCACAGCATAGCTGCTCTGTGAAAACGTGGCCAGACTGCTTTTTCAAGTGGGTCTCTGATCCCATTCCTCCTCACTGGGTAGGACCTCCTAACGGGGGTCTCCAACCACCTCCTACAGGTGTATTTGGGCCAGCAATGGGTCTGTACATTTCTGGGATGGAGCTCCCAGAGGGAGGGGCAGGCTGCCATCTTTGCTGTTTCATAGCCTTCATTGTTGCTACCTCCAGATAATAAAACATCTGAAGTGACTAGGGACTGATATGGGGTCCCAATATACTGCAGCAACCCTATGAAAAAGTGACCAGACTTTTACATGGGTGCCCATTCCCATATCTCCTCACCGGACAGGTCCTCCAGGCCTCCAGCTACACTCTGCCAGAGTTATCGATCAAGTAGCAGTTTTCTAACTCCCTGGACAGGATTCCCAGGGGCAACTGAAAGCCTCTCTGCCATTACCTCTGCAAGACAGAGGCAGTAGAGCTGTTAGAACCCTTGGACTAACAAAGGAACAAAGACCCTAAGTGCCTCATCCATACCTCCAACAAGCTGCAGTTGACTCCAGGAGAGAAGGCCAGTTTGTCTCTCACAGGTCCTACCTACCCCCACCTTCTGCTTGTCACCAGACAGGGAACCCCGAGCTTGCACCTACAACATAGACTATCCATCCTGGGATAATTGCAAAGAGTAATTGCTGACCTGCATCTCAATGGGTGTAGCCCCCAGGAGACAAGCAAAAGACCCTTGGCCATAACCAGGCTAAGGTATCTTCTGCTGCCGCCAAGTTGAAGAAGAAACATAACACTGAGATTGCCCCAGAGCTGAAGGGGCAGTCCAGGAGTGCTGAGTCATAATCTATAGCCAGCTCTCAACAGGGAAATAAATCTACACTTTCAGAGCATTGAGAAGGAACATGCCTACAAAAATGAGGAAACAGGGGAGCCACACAACCAAGCAAGAGTCTACCAACTGACCAATATGCCTAAGTGCCACCTACCGGATCACCTTCCCCAAAGCTTCAATGCCAAAAATACCTCACTAACATACCCCCCTCTGAAACCAAAGACAAGTTGTCAGCTTCACATAAAGACCATGCGCAAAGTCTTGGCCCTATGAAAACTTCCAGGAAAGATGTCTATTGACTGTGTTCAATCTACATTGCAGTCAAAGGAACACCTACACACAGAGATGAGAAAGAACCAATGCAAGAACTCTGGTAACTCAAATGACCAGAATGTTGTATGTCCTCCAAACAACCACACCAGTTCTCCAACAGGAGTTCTTAATGAGTCTGAGCTAGCTGAAATGACAGAAATAGAATTCTGACTATGGAGAGGAATGAAGATCATTGAGATTCAGAAGAATGGCAAAACCCAATCCAAGGAAACTAAGAAATCACAATGACACAATACTGGAGCTTAAAGACAAAGTAGCTGGTTTAAAAAAAGAAGCTAAGAGGTCTCATAAGCCTGAATAAAACAATACCAGAATTTCACAATGTAATCACAAGTATTAACAGTAGAATAAACCAAGCTAAGGAAAGAATCTTAGAACTTGAAGACTGGCTCTCTGAAATAAGACAGTCAGATAAAAATAAAGGAAAAAGAATAAAACGGGAAGAACAAAACCTGCAAGAAGTATGGGATTATGTAAAGGCCAAATCTATGAATCATTGGCATCCCAGAAAGGGAGGGGGAGAAAGCAAACAACTTGGAAAACATATTTCAGGATATTATCCATGAAAACTTCCCCAACCTTGCTAGAGAGGCAAATTTGCTACCAGTCCTTGCTAACAGTCAAATTTAGGAAATACAGAGACTTCCTGCCAGATTCCATGCAGGAAGATCATCCCCAAAACACATACTTGTCTGATTTTTTCAGGTCAAAATGAAACAACGTTACAGGCAGCCAGAGAGAAAGGGTAGGCCACCTACAAAGAGAACTCCATTAGGCTAACAACAGATGTCTGAGCTGAAACCCTACAAGTCAAAAGTGATCGGGGCCTATATTCAACATTCTTAAAGAAAAAAAACCTTCAACGAAGAATTTCATATCCAGCCAAACTAAACTTCCTAAGCAAAGGAGAAATAAGATACTTTTTGGGCAAGCAAATTTTGAGGGAGTTTGTTACTACCAGACCTGCCTTATAAGACATCTTGAAAGGAGCACTCAATAGAGAAGGGAAAGACTACTACCAGCTAATACAAAAGCACACTTAATTACACAGACCAGTGACACTGTAAAGCAACCATACCAACAAGCCAGCATAATAATCAGTGAACAACAGAATGACAAGATTAAATCTACACATATCAATACTAATCTTGAATGTAAATGGGCTAAATGCTCCATTTAAAAGGCACAGAGTGGCAAGCTGGATAAAAAAGCAAGACCCGGCCGGGCGCGGTGGCTCAAGCCTGTAATCCCAGCACTTTGGGAGGCCGAGACGGGCGGATCACGAGGTCAGGAGATCGAGACCATCCTGGCTAACACGGTGAAACCCAGTCTCTATTAAGAAATACAAAAAACTAGCCGGGCGAGGTGGCGGGCGCCTGTAGTCCCGGCTACTCGGGAGGCTGAGGCCGGAGAATGGCGTGAACCCGGGAGGCGGAGCTTGCAGTGAGCTGAGATCCGGCCACTGCACTCCAGCCTGGGTGACAGAGCGAGACTCCGTCTCAAAAAAAAAAAAAAAAGAAAAAAGAAAAAAAAAAGCAAGACCCAATCGTATGCTCTCTTCAAGAGACCCATCTCATGCTTAATAACACCCATATGCTAAAAATAAAGGGATGGAAGAAAATCTGCCAACCAAGAGAAAACAGAAAACAACAGGGGTTACTTTCCCAATTTCAAGAAAACCCTCAAAAAACAAAAAACAAAACACACACACACACAACAAAAACAGACTTCAAACCAACAAAGTTCAAAAAAGGCAAAGAAGGGCATTACAAATGGTAAAGGGTTCAATGAAACAAGAAGACCTAACTATCCTAAATGTATATGCACTCAATACAAGAGTACCCAGATTCATAAAGCAAGTTCTTAGAGACCTACAAAGAGACATAGGCTACCACCACCCAGTAATAGCCCAGGCCCTGATGAATTCACAGCTAAATTCTACCAGATGTACAAAGAAGAACTGGCAATATTCCTACTGAAGCTATTTCACAAAATTGAGGAGGAGGAGGAACTTCTCCCTAACTCATCCTATGAGGACAGTATCATTCTGCTACCAAAACCTGGCAGAGACACAACAAAAAAAGAAATATTCAGGCCAATATCATGAGGACTATCAATTCAAAAATCTTTTCAACAAAATACTTGCAAACCAAATCCAGCAGCACATCAAATGGCTAATCCACCACAATCAGGTAGGCATCATCCTTGGGATGGAAGGTTGGTTCAACATACTCAAAACAATAAATGTGATTCATCACATAAGCAGAAATAAAGACAAAAACCACATGCTTATCTCCATAGATGCAGAAAAAGCTTTCAATAAAATTCAACACCCCTTCAAGTTAAAAACTCCCAATAAACTAGGTATTGAAGGAACACATCTCAAAATAATAAGAGCCATCTCTGACAATCCACAGCCAAAATCATAATGAATGGACAAAGCTGAAAGCATTCCCCCTTGAAAACCAGCACAAGACAACGATGCCCTCTCTCACCACTCCTATTCAACATAGTATTTGAAGTTCTGGCCAGGGCAATCAGGCAAGAGAAATAAATGAAGGATATTAAAATAGGAAAAGAGGGAGTCAAATTATCTTTGTTTGCAGATGACATGATCCAATATCTAGAAAACCGCATTGCCTCATACCAAAAGCTTCTTAAGCAGATAAGCAACTTCATCAGTCTCAGGATACAATATCAATGTGA